ACATGACCGGGACACCATCAAAACACGACCGGGACACCATCACAACACGACCGGGACACCATCAAAACATGACCGGGACACCATCAAAACAGGACCGGGACACCATCACAACATGACTGGGACACAATCAAAACATGATCGGGACACCATCACAACATGACCGCGCCACCATCACATGATCGGGACACCATCAAAACATGACCGGGACACCGTCACAACACGACCGGGACACCATCAAAACATGCCCGGGACACCATCAAAACAGGACCGGGACACCATCACAACATGACTGGGACACCTTCAAAACATGACCCGGACGCCATCAAAACATGACCGGGACACCATCCGCCCACCAGCTCTGACGGTGACCCGACGGCGCCCGTCCGCCTACTAGTTTTGCAAGACCCCATAGCATGGCTATTGGGGAAAAATCAAACAACCGATGGGAGGGTCTCGTCTCCAACACTCCCACACAGACCCATAGACCCCTGATAATAGCTCTTCGCTCGCTCATCTAAAATGCTCGAAGATACATCTGCCGTTCCAATGTCCTATCGCTAGAACCCGCTGTTCGGGGGTGCCCCCTTTTGCCCCGAGACGACCTCAAAACAAAACACAAAACTCCCCCTTATATATATATATATTTGTTTACATATATATATATACATAATCATATAATGATAATGTTTTTTCTGGAGAACTTCGTGCCAGAAACCACTTTTCCAAAGGTGCCCTTTCTTGCTGGGAGATGGTCCTCAAACAAAGCGCAGAAGGGCTCCAACGCTTAAGGGTCTTTCTTCGGCCCTGAAGACCTGCATCTACATCTGTAAAGCACACTATTTTTCCATATCTGCATTGACAATTCATCTCATGCAGCGGCTCGCTAGATTCAATCAAAAAGGTCGAAGATGTATCGGCCATGCCCACTTTTCAGAGGTGCCCTTTGTTGCCCCGAGACCATCAACAAGGCGCAACAGGCCACCAACAACAACTCCTCCTTAAGGCCTTGTCTGGGTGAGCTTGGTGCTAGAACCCGCGTTTTCACTTCTGCCCTTTTGTGCCCCGGGGCGGCTGTCAAACAAAGCGCACAAGGGCACCAACCCAGAAATGCTATACAGGAGCCAACAGAATTGCCAAAGCACTCCAAAAGATGCAGTCATGCCCAGTTGATGATGCAACAGATGCTAGTATCAACCATTGCAGCATCCTTTAAAGCAATATGTTGTCCCTGTTGTCCACCCATGTTTTTGCACTCTCCCCAGGAGGCTCTGGTTCACCCTTCCAAAACCGGTCTTTTTTGCTTCGTTCACCTAAGACAGAACTTCAGCCAGCTCGTAAAATCAAGTGATACAGATAATTACAATGTTTAATACTTGTTCTAAAACAACATGAACAACTTAAACTTGGAAGTAGCCAAAGCCCACTTCCGTCTTGCAAAAAGGCTCCTCACTTCCACAACCATCCGGCCATCCGGCACCGCACCGCAGCTGTGAGAGCTCGACCTCGAAATCCGCCTCGGGAGAAAAGGTTCGATGGAAAACAGAAACGGAACAGGAGGCTACTAGGGGCTCCTGGCCCCTGGCATCGCTACTAGGAGCGAGGACGCTACTAGGATCTCAAGTGCCACCATTGGTTTCTGGTTGTTTGGGTGTCTAGGTATGTCTTGGGAGGTCAGCCACCGGCTTGTTTCCCGACGCGAAGAATCCCGGCTTGTTTCCCGAAACAGGGAAACCGGAACCGGTGCCCTTTTCGGTCATCCGCTGCGGCGTCAGAAGTGGGAACCTCACATCTTCTTGGTTGCTGAACCATTCTGACACTCAACTGTAACGGTGATGGACAGTCGAGCAACAAGCCCTGTCAGAGCGTGACTGCCCAGTGAGATCATTTAGACCTTATTTAGACCTGTCAAGTTTGCGATGTGCTCCCCGGAAACTCTTCCTGAAAACCACATGGGATCATGCATCACCCCGCCACCTCAAGGCCGCCCGGGTGCGACCCGGAGTAGCCGTGCCCGCCCACACGACCTCCCAGTCTCGTGCCGTTCGCCTCCAGAGTGGCTGCATGTCGAGCTTCTTCCGTCACGAAGGAAATCACCTTCGTGACTAGGAGCTACTAGTAACAAGTGCCACGCTAGTAGTAACAAGTGCCTTACTAGTAGTAACAAGAAGCTACTAGTAACAA